GCGACACGTGGCTGATCTGGTAATCCGTCACCTTCGACATAGTCGGCGCTCCTTCCATCGAAGTCTCGGCTTCGCCATCGTCTGCCTTCGGAGCAAGGTCTTTATCCTCGTCCTCATCGCTAGCATCGCTAGCATCAATGGCCTCGTTAGGATCGCTAGCATCGCTAGCATCGCTGTCATCAATGGCATCGCTGGGATCGCTGGCATCAATGGCATCAATGGCATCGCTGACCTCTTTGCCAACTTTGGAAGCGCCTCCCGATTGCGTTTGCTGCAACGAGAGAATCACAAGCGGGCAGTTCGCTCGAATCGCACGCAGCGTCCGGGCGATGGATTCCGCGACCGCGGTTTCTCCGTTTCGCACCGCGATGGTTTGGATGTAGGCGAGGCGACGATAAAAATCGCATCCGACGAATAGAACGTCGGCCTCGGGCGCCTTCGTCATGATGAAGAGCAGCTGCGAGATTAAAAGAATGAGATCCGCGGGCAAATTGTCGCCGAGAATCATCGCGAGGTAGGGCAGAGCCGCGGAGCGAACCATCGAAGACAGAAGCTCTGAGTTGCTTCGCAGAATCTGCGTCAGTACGTCCAAGACACGGCGAAAGAGGGAGTTCGATGCGGGAGCCGGGACTCGGTTTAGGAGACGCAAGCACGGCCAGAGAAGGAATTGATGGGACGAGAAATCGAGGGGAAGCTGAACGAGGAGCTCCGTACAGAGATTTTGAATCTCTGTCCCGGTAGGCGAACTGATGATGCGAGAGAGAATGTCGTTGAGCTGCTGCTCGATCGCCGGGGAGATGCTGGTGGGCTGCTTCTCTAGCAGATTGATGAACGTCGGGACGAGAATGTTGGCGATCGTCGTGGACGGATAGTCCGCCAAGAACAAAAACACGTTCACAAGGCTGGACACGTCGCTGGGACGCAGCTCCACGCCCTGGTTGATGAGAGTCGAGAAAATCTCGATAATCTTCACTAGACAGCAGCGAGTTTCCTCATCAGTTTTCAGTGGCTGTCTCAGGAAGCGCGACAGAACCGTCAGCACGGGAGCGGCCTTCGTGCAGGGGTGTTTGCTAATCAGGTAGCTGAGCTGCTCGAGGGCGGAGTAGACCGTCTTCAGCGACTGAGTCATCCATGCGCGACAGACGACCAGCAGATCCTCCAGCAGCTTGTTCAGATCGAAATAGTCCTTAAACATCGAGTTGGTGATGACCGAGTTGGAGATTCGCAGCGCTTCGTCCACCAGCGCGCGGTCGCTCGAGGACAGATAGGACAGAGAGCACTCGATGAGCGTCTTTTCAAGCGAGTTGGAGTGCGGGAGACAGTTGGGAGGCACCGCGCATTTCCCGTTGAGTCGCTCGAGAAGCGACTTGCTGAGATAGGAGCAGTGCTGCGACTGCGTTGCGTAGTTAATGCACTGCAGACTGAACAAAAAGGACGGCAGCGTGAAGAACGCGTTCAGCGAGGCCGGAGAAGAGAGCGAGAAATGCCCGGTCGAGATTCGCAGCTCGATTCGGTTCATCTGCATCAGCAATTCTTCGCGTCGCGTGTCTCGTTCTTCCAACCTACTCCTCAAATCCGCATTCTAGCCGCACTTTCGAGGGAGTTTCATCGGGGAATCGACCGGAGAGTCGCTGGGCGAGTTCGAAATCATGCTGGCGCCGAGTTCATCGAAGGGCGTTTGCTCGGGTTGCGAATTGAGGTGCAAAATCGTGCGGACGTTTTCGATGAAGATGGGTTCTTTCCGAACCGCCTGAGCGATGAGAATATTGAAGATGTGGAGAGAGCAGATGGTGATGTGGAGACTGATCACGCGGTCCATCATGATTTCGGGGAGCACGTAGATGAATTCCAAGGGCAGAAGCGTGTTGATCGAAGTGTATTCGACCAGAGTGGACAGCAAATACAATGCATCGCTGGTGAGAGACATGCTGATTTCGAAGAATCGCTTCTTCAAAGTCTCGTCTCTCTGCAAAAGCGCGTCGCAAAGCGTTACGCAAAGCATGGAATGGATCGACGAGCAGCAGAGCTCGTTGATGAGGTCAGTCTTGCAAAGCTCGTGTAGAACATGGATGGAGGATTCCAGCAACGTTAGGGATCGCGAGTGCGCTATTCTCCACACCAGCAGCACCAGCAGATGCTTGGTTTGGATCACTTCGTCGACGGAGAGAGAGAAGTCGTCCAGCGTGGGGATGGCGAACGATACGGTTTTCGGCGTGATGACGTTCGGCGTGGAAGGCGCGTGGTTATTCTTCCACTGCAGAACAGACGGATCGGTTATAAACGACGAGTAATCCGTTTCTGTGCGTCATTCGACCATCAAAGAAGCACGATCCTCGAAGAGAGAGAGCAATTGGTAGGTCAGAGTGGTGATTTCGGGGTTCGTTTCGAACGGGCGAATGCTTTTGAGGACCGCCTGAATGTCGCTCATTTCGAACTCGGCCCGGAAGCTTTCTAGAAGAGTGAAGAAGAAAAAAAGAAATCACTATCGACCGCTGCGAGCTCGATGGTGCACTTCAGCGCCTTGCAGATGCAGTTTTCGTCCTGGATGGAGAAGGTGAAGAAGGACTGCAGCACGCGCGAGTAGTTGCAGATGCAGAAATACTGGCAGATCTCGGGCGATTGGATGAGGTCCTTCAGGATGTCCAGCACCAAATTGATGACCGTCTGGTTGGTGCTGAACGTGTTGGTGGCGAGGGAAATCACGTCGCCCACGCCGGATTCCACGAGGTAGAGAAGCAGCTCGGCTAGAGATGAGGGCTAGAGAAAGAAAGGGACGCTGCTTGGCGAGGTCTGCGAAGATGTCGAGAATGCCGATGACTTGATTGGTCTTGTTGAGCGGCCTGTTCTTCGCGATGTCGGTCAACTGCACGAAGGTGGCGGTCAATTGCGCGACGATGTCGGACTCAAAGAACACCCGCGCCATCAACGGCATGGATGTCACGGCTTTCAAATATGTAATGACGGCGAGGACGATGGAGTCGACTTTGGTCGCGGCGAGAATCGTCTTGAGCACGTCGAGATCTTCGCGAGAGAAGGGAATCTCCGCGGGATTGTGCTGCACTAGACGATCAATGCGAGAAAGGAAGCGAACCCTCGGAGATCAGACGGCTTAGGAACTGAATCAACACGCCGATGAACGATTCGTGAGCGTATTTCTTCAGAAGCGGATTCACGTATTCTTTAAACCGATTCTCCACGAGGAAGCAATACTCCGCGTCGCCGACTACAGCTCAACCCTCCTCCTCGTTTTTACTATTCGGAATCACCAGAAGCATTCCGATCGCCTTCTTCACGAGCGTTCCATCGTCTGTAAAGTCTTTAAACACTCGCAGCACGATCTTCAGCACTTTCACCGCATCGAAATCCGGCGAGTCTACGCTTCAACCCTCGCTCAGATCGCTACCTCTCGATACTGAAACGTACCACGACATTACCAGAACGAGCAGCTCTTGATTCGATTTTTGGAAGAGAGCGTCGAGGTATTCTTGGAGTAGGGACTGCAGCTGCGATTCGTTCAGATTCTTGGGGAGGTTCTGACGGAAGTAGCCGATGATTTCGATGACTTGGTAGTTGGTGAGAGGGGAGAAACGGATCCACTCGAAAAATCCAGACAAATCCCCTCGGTTAATATAGTTACGAGCGGTGCTAAAAAGGGACTCGGGACAAGTCGGGGGTTCCCTTTTCATTCCTATCGAAGAACGTCTTGATGATGCTCTGGAAACCGACTTGTTGGCTCTCTATGCCTAAATCCGAAGCCAGCAAAATTACCTCTGTTCGTAACTCTAAAGTTAGTGCAACACTGTTCGAAATAGTAGAAATAATTTGAGAATTACTTAGAACTTCTCCATTGTACAAGAGAACTAAAGTATTCTCATAATCAGGAATTGTTAACTACAGCATTAAAACCACTTAGAATTAGCAAGATCCTACATTCTTGTGTTTATAGATTTTCTTTTTAACAGAACTGATAGAGGAGGTCGGCAAAAGCTTAACTTGATCGATTATCGAATTAGAAGCGTTCACTATCGTGATTGAGACCTTTCTATCGGCTGTATGAACACTTGGAATCCCTAAACAACATCGGCCACTTCAACCTTATTTATACCGTTTTTAGGATGTTTGTGCCTAGGCGCCTCTGTGCTCATTTCCCAGAAATGAAAAAGAAATAATAGTGAAACAATTCCAGGTGAAACTTCCACACCAATTCAAAAAACTAGATTTACACAACCCTATATCAGTGATTTGAAAATTTGCATAGAGTTCTTTATTCTCGACATGGAATCACTTATTGAAGAGTTTTGTTAATCATTAACAAAAGAAAGGAGTTTGAAGAGGAATTGAATTCATATTTGATACTTAATTTTAAATTGATTTAAAAAACGGAGTCTGTGAACCTTCATTGACAGGAATCTAGAATAGCCCTAAAAATGCACACAGAGAGATCTCGTAGAGTAAGTTTGAATGTCTACAGCCACCCAAACCAAGCATGTTCAATTGAAAAGTCTGCTTGTTTGCTACACTAGCTACAGATATAACCAGGCAAAACCTGTGGGCTTGGTAGCCGAATACTCTACCAAGAGAATCGATTTGAATTGAAAAATGCGGAATGAACGGGAATTGAAAAAGTTTCGCGACTATTACCGAATAGCTTTAAAGTTCATCTCTTAAACCTGTGAGTAGTGTTGATACCTATTATTGTTTTGAAAGTTCAATGTCCATTCGCTCAGAAGAAGTGAATTATTTGATATTTCGGTATCTACAAGAATCAGGTATGTGTCATTTTGCCAATATGATTCGCAGGTTTTGAGCACTCTGCATTCGCATTTGCATATGAAAGCAGGATCGCCGAAACTCGAGTTTTTGATGAATTTGTACCTCCTGGAGCTCTTATTACTTTCCTGCAAAAAGCTCTGCAATATATAGAGCTAGAATCGCATGTTCGCGATGTAGGAATCGTGTCTGGAGTCAAAGTGGGTAGAACGAAACCGAAGTGAACTGTAATGCTCCTTTCTCCCTTATTTATCCACATAAGTGCTCACATTCGAAGAAAGATACGAGTCTACTAGCTGCTGTTGCGTAATTTGTAGGAAACGCGAATAAAATGGAAATTGAAATCGATATTAAATCCAAGGAAATCCCTCCTTCTAAATGTCAAGTTTTGGAAGGTCACACGCGACCTGTAGTATTATCGTCGTCTTTCTCTCTTTAGGTATATTCCTGTGTGTGGTCTCCGACATCGGATATTCTTGCCACGGGCTCCGGAGACTCCTCCGTCCGCCTCTGGAAATCGCAAGATGATTCCACCGCATTGGTTCCAGGAAGCGTGATGACGCACTCTCTGCTCTCCCAAGGAACCAACGACATCACCTCGCTATCCTGGAGCGTACCTCTCTTCCTCTCTCCCTCTCTCTCTAGTCCTCCGGGGAGTTTCTCGCCTCGGCTTCCTACAACGGCGAAGTCAAAATCTGGTCGAATTCTGGAATTGCCCTTTCCAGCCTTCCCTCGTTCGCTCGCCCGGTCTTCGGCGTTTCCTTCGCTCCTTCGTCGAACCGCCTGCTCGTCACCGGCGCTCTGCCCTCGTTTTTCATTTACTCCTTGCAGGCCGATCGCTCGCTGGCGCTCGAAACCGACGTGGCGAAGATCAACGAGCTCGAGCGCAGCGTCGGCGGCGGATTTGAGCTCCCGGCGAACAGTAGAACCGCGGGGATGCTGTGAAATAGACGTGATTCTGCAGGCGGCGTGGCGAGACGACGCGTTTGTGACGCTGGTGGACAATTCGAATCGAATTCTCAACCTCCGCCTCGATGCTTCCGCGGGGAAAACGTGCATCCAGGTGCTGGTGGGGCACGAAGTCGCGGTTCTGGAGCGGTTTGAGCGGTAGGGGGAAATCGGCACGCTGGATTGGACGTGCGACAAAAAAGTCCTGATTTCTGGAGGAGATGATGGAGTGATCAAGGTGCGTTTTGATGAGAAATGAGGAGTATAGCTGTGGAATGAGGATCGGAATGAGAGTATCTTCGATATCTTATCGCATACCGCGGTTATTAATCAAGTTTTGGCGTCACGAACATCGCCCAATCATTTTTTCTCGTAGAGAAGGTGGAAACGTGGAACTGTAGATGCAGCAACGATCGCACTATCAAAATCTTCGATATTCAGCAGGTTTCCACGGTTTCCACGTTAACTCCCCATGAGTAGTTCTGGATGAAACGGCTCAAAGACAGTGCGGAGGTGACACACGTGGCGCAGTCGAGCGGCATGTTTAGCTCGGTTTTGGCCTCTTCGGGACTGGATCGGATGGTGTATTTGTCGGATTTGCGAGTGAGGAAGAAGGAGGCGAGTGAGGACTAGACGAAGGGAGTGGTGAGGAACTATCGAACGAGTAGCGATGTGTTCGATTTGGCGTTCTCGCGGGAGGGAAGCCGGCTGAGCGTGGCAACGATGGACTCGCAGGTGGTGGTTCTTGATATTCGCGTGTAGTTTGGTGTGTTTGTTTGAAAAAGAATTGGAAGTGGATTTGTGTGTCGATGGATGAATCACTTTGGCTAGTGAAGGGATAACTAGTATCAGATATTCCTATTGCATTGGAATATTGATTGTTACCTATTCTTAAATGATTGAATCAACGATTTCAGAAATGATAATCTATTTCCATTCATCGAATCATCCAACTATTGGACATCCAACAAACACTAACACTTCTTCTTCTTCTTTATCCCTCCTCTTCTCATATTCCATCATTCACCCAAATATAAAAAATATATATAGAACAAACAAAACACACTTCCCCTAATCGGTATCCTCGAAGTTCTTCCTCCTGCAAAAAGCGAGGAGCTACCGGCACTAACCACTCCACAGAAAACGTTCCATCGCCTCCAAAATATGCGCTACGATCATCACACACACCGACATCCTACGCAAACGGATTTTTAGTGGCTCTATACACCATTCCCTGAAGCCGATCAATCGCTGCAATCAAATCAAAACCGAATGAACTACTTGTCGTGTTGGATCGAATGGATTGAAGCGTTTCGCTAAGCATCGACCCAGCAAAACCAACGAAAATGCAAGATAAACTCATCGTGAACACTGTACAAAGGATGTCTATGGATCATCCAGAAAAATGGAAGCAACAGAATCGTGGCTCCTCTTCAAGGTGTTTCAAAATGTAAAAGAATCGGAAAAAATCCATTAATAACATAAACACACACATTGCAACTACATATCCCAGAAACAGAATAAAATATTTCATATTCCGATAACCGATACAGTTGTTTGTCCAGGGACAATGATGGTCCATCCGAATAATGCACCGTTTACACTGACTGCAGTGATGGGCTCGAGGGGGTTTAAAACTATTACAGTATGAACAGAAACGGAGTTCTTCTTCGTCGCTAGCATTGGAAAGACACACTGCAGAGGAAGGAACGGAACCAGGATCAGTGAAACAACCTATACTCAGTAAAATACAACTCTCAGTATACAGCGGAAATGAGAAACGACTGCCATTCCATAGATTAAAATATCAATACTATAAAAGAGGAGACGACTGAAAACCCCAGCGAACACAGTAGGGATAATATTACTCTAAAAACATGGTACAAACAAACATAAAGCCCACATAAATAAATGAAAATCCAAAGAAGAGAACGCCTTCTCCAAAGAGCATCGAGACAACGCCACAAAAGTCAGGATTGCACCAACATCGTGTACCCTCCATGGTGCCGCAATCCTTACGACGCAACTTCATCTCAGACAAAAATGTGTGTGTAAACAAACAGGTTGAGAATCGCTCACTCTATGAACACCTCCACAGTGCACTTTATTAATAGTTCAACAAAATTGACGGTGACACTCTTCCCTCTTTGCATAGGCTACATAAAATACTAACAAACTCATTTCGAGTAATGTCCTCATCTCCCTCCTTGAATTGCTTCCGAACAATATTCTCAACTTCCTCCACTCTTTTCAGCGTGTAGTTCTTCACCTCGATGCAGATTCTCACAAACGCGAGGTACACATCGCACACCATCGCTCGATTCAGACTTCCACTCGGACTTTTCGGCGAAGCCACCGCGCTCAGCAAGCCGCTCATCACTTGAAACATCCGCATGGACGACCGGATACACTTTCCTTCGTCGGAGCTCTGCGGAGGCGGGAAGAGAAAGAGGAAACTGGCGATCACGGGCGCGATCTACGTCGAAACCTGCCCGCAATCAAACCGAAATCCATCGCTGCTCCGTTTGGAACACTTCGAACACCCGATTCACAAAGTCGAACAGGATCGACCGGTCCACGGAGAGCTTTAAAAGCTCCACCCAGTACAGCAGCGAGGCTCGGAACGCGCTGCGCGTGATGAATCGATCGGCTGGGAGCGTGGGGAAGAGGGAGGAAAGCAGCGAGCCGCTCTTGGGTCCGATGAATTCTTGGAGCTGGGAATCTTCTTTCGAAGCGATTTTCAGACTCTGCTTCCAGTCGATTTCCGTGGGAATGGCGTCCAACACCGAGTTGATCTCAGTGAACGCGGAGCTCAATATCGCTGAGGCCTCGGCGAGCGAAAGCGAAGAAGCGGATGCGATGCTGGATTCGACAAGCGGGACGAACGCGATCGGTTCTTTCTAGGTATTAGGGCGTTTCATCGTGGAAACAGAGCAAACGAACTCGGAGAGAACTTGCTGAATGGTGTGAGAAAGACTCGTGAGTTCGTCGGCTTTGATGACTTCCGGATCGTGGAGCGAAATGCGAAGACAATTCTACATTGAAGAGAAACGAAGAGCAAAACTTCGCAGCGATCAGAGAACGAAGAGTTTTCAAACAGCGAAAGAATGCCGAAGAGAAGGGATGTGCTCACCGTCTCCTCCTTCCAGACAGCGAGCGTATCGTAGACGTCGCGAGCGAAGGAAGAGAGAATTGAAGACTTCATGGGGTCGGTCGAAACGACAAACGAAACGAAATCCGACCGACTGATTTGCGATTGGTTCTTCGAATCGAACTTCGAATCGAGCGCCTTCACATCCAATTGAATTCCGGGAGGAAATGCAAGATAATCCTCGATTCCTTTTCGCTCTACTTGCGGTTTGGGCGAGGTTTTGGGCGTCAACGCGGTGATGGGGATGGAGATGGACTCAGGAATCACTTTTCCCGTGGAAATGTCCATTTGGGGAATGGAGTAGGAGCGTTGACGCACGAGAGAACTCGACGCAGACATCGGGCGAGCAATGGAGGAGGGCCGATCCGATGCGGAGGAGGAAGGGCGAACCGTGTAGGATCGAAGCGGGAGATTGAGAGAGGAGGAATCGAAGGAAGCGGGCATCGAAGTGAAAAGACACGACGTGGCAGGACGCAAGGAATAATTCGCCGGATCTAACGCAGTCGAAGAAGGTGGAACCGGAGAAGAAATGGGAACTGCCGATGGTGGAACCGGGGAATGAATTGGAACCACAGAAGGTGGAACCGGGGAATGAATTGGAACCACAGAAGGTGGAACCGGAGAAGAAATGGGAACTGCTGTTGGTAGAAGCGCCGATGGTGGAACCGGAGAACCAAACGGAGCCATCGATGGTGGAACTGGAGAAGGCGGAACCGGGGAACCAACAGGGACGGCAGACCCAAACGGAGCCATCGATGGTGGAACTGGAGTGGCGACTTGATACGTGGGGGAAGGTGGAATCGGGGAAGCGATTGCCTTCGCCAAAGGAATGGGAGGGATCGCGGGCGGAGCGACGGCCATCGCAGACGCCGAGAAAACGGGCTGCGCCGGTAATGCGGAGGCATCCACGGCTGGATCGACTACGTAGCTCTGCGGAGGCAGGGCGAAGTCAACGCGATTTCCGCTGGGTCGAGACGCAGGACGAACGGAGGCTGAATACACAACATCCGCAGGAATGGGCTGGTTTTGGAGCGAGGACGGCTTCGGAATCTTTAAGGAAGGAGAACCGTAAATGCTCGTGAGCAGTAAAGAGTGTGAGCTGCGGAAGGGATAAATCTGCGAGGAGATGACGAGGGAATGGTCCTTAAAGAAGGCGATAAGATCGTCCGTAGAAAGATAGGACGTGTATTCAGCGCAATAATTCGTAAAGCAGAAGGACGTTAGCGAGTGCGCTAGAAGCTGGATTTTCAGCGTGTGATGATGCATAATATCGAACATCTGTGATTCATTCAGAAAGAACAGATCGATTACCTCGTCATTCACATTCAAAATAAACTCAATCAGCTCGTAGACATCATTGAAACTCCAGTCGTCGTTTTCGTTTTGCAGCTCCTTGGCCAAACATAGCAGAGTGTCTTCTGTTTGAGAGATTGCCACCATGCAACGAAGCCAGTCCACAAAGAAACACCCATCGCCCTTGGAACTCGTCAGTCGAATCGCCACCTTCCATAACGAGCAGCAAATATGCCAAAGTATCTCCATTTTTTCCGACGAACAATCCAAATTGGAAAAGAAACTGGTGATCATATCTCCGAAATAGAACGAATTGAACGGGTCTTTGCTGGCAATCTCTCGAAGAAGGTTTGTGCACGCCATGAAATTGTTCCAGTACTCCTCGATGAGTTCGTTCGTCTGGTCCACAGCCGGTGAGGCGATCGACGGATATTTGACGGGCAAATTGAGAGGGAGGAACATTTTGAAATTATCCGCAATCACATGGAAAACGTCCTTGGAGAGCAGCGAATCCTGGGGCGAAATGTCCATCGAATGAAGCAGCTGCGTGAGGAGGAAATCGAGATTGCTAACAGCGAACGGACAGGAAGATGTTCTGCAATGGTAAAACGAAATGAATGGAAAGGCTACTGAATAAACAAAACGCTTTTAATAAGCGAGTGGAATAAGTGAATCACCGAATCCCACGAAATGACGGAATCGATTTCATTCATATACAAGAATTGACTAATCAACGTGTGAATGTTGGAGCATCGGCAAACACAGCAGAAAAACGCGATTTGGAGAATATCGACGGTCGAATTTGCCGAGCTTTCCTGTTTCTCGGATAAAACCGAGAATAATGAAGTCAGCAGCATGCTCCGATGCTGAATATTGGAAATGCAATACTTAATGGGGAAAAATCGATCCCAAAACTACGAGTGAGCTTTCAAATGAATCAAAAACAGCAAGAGCTTGGCGATAGGAAAGGAGACGATCGTTATTATCGTTGATGTGGTTCATAACCAGAGGAATGATTTCCTTTTCCTTGAAGGAAGATATGCCAAGATAGTATTCAAGCTTTTGGATTCGATGGTGAAGTGGGTCCGAATGGCCGAGAACAAACAAATCGATCGCTAAGGATTGACTCTCAATCCACTTTCTAAGGAGAAGTCCGAATTCCTCGTCAGAAATGTTCATGTATATAAACGAAGAGAAATAGCTCCTCATATAGACAGGATCAATGCATTGATCGTTCTTCTTTTTCAACGTGCTAACAGCAATATTCTGACTCTTAATTTCATTGTTGTTGTTGTTGTTGTTGTTGTTGTTGCTATCGCTATTGTGAATACCATTCTCGCTATCACTGTCATGATCATTGTCGTTTTCATTCTCATTCTCATTCTCATTCTCATTCATATTCTCATTCTCATTCTCATTACAACTTCCATTTCTAATAATTCGAGACAAAATACGGTTCAAAATAGATTGCGAATCAAGCCCCGTAATCTCAGGCAAACGAGGATACAACTCTTCCATAATTCCGATTTGCATCTTCAAGAATAAAGCAAACAGAGTTGGGATCGACCGATTCGAGTACTGACTAATATTCTTGAGAACGTCGCAGAAAATCGGAATTGCATCCTGCATTGGCTTATCGGCAAGCATAAGCTCTAGCAGGAAAAACGAAATCCAATCGCGAGGAATTGACGAGCCCTTCATCTTTAAGAAGAAGAACAGTGGCGTCAAAAGCTCTTCCTGCGATGGAGCCAAACGTTTGAAAAGCGACACAAACTCCGAATAATAAAGCCGGTCCGGATAGGAAGAGTAGAGATCCGAGAACGAGGAAATAAGGAAAGAATTCGCAGAGAGAAGCCGCGCCAGATTACACAGCAGAATCTACAAAGCCAAAGACGTGGAGTCGATACATTGATGGAGGATCCGACGACGGTCTGCTTGCTAAACACGATCGAGAGAAAGTCGGAGACAGAGGAATGATCGCTGGCCATCGACTGCCACAACGATCCGGAAATCGAGTTCTCCTGCTTGGAAGAATCCGGAATCGCTGCGAGCTCGGGCGTCTGGTTATTCAGCCAAAACTCCAGGAGCTGCACACCGCGCACTCCGAGCACAATTCCGTTTTTGAGCCTCATAAACAGCGAATTGCCGCCCAACTCAATATCAGACCAGAGCTGGATGAGTCGCTGAGAAAAGGCCGATGTGTCGATGGAATCGGAGGGATTGATTTGGATGCGGTCGGGAGACTCGAGTTTGACTGTTTGCACGAGTAACGAGAGGGCGGTGAGAACATCTTCGATCGAGAAAACCGACTCGTGGATCGTTTGAGCGAGAGCTGGAACCTCCGAAACAGGCTCAAGATAAAGATGAATCAGGAACAGAGCCGCAGTAAAAACTTGCGGACTCATCTAACAATAAGGGATTTGAAAGCAAAACGGACAGAATTCACCATCCAATTCGCAAAGGAGCGGAAATACTTGTATTCATTCGAGCCGATCAGAGGGCGATAAACTGCCATTAAAAGCAAAAGCAGATCTTCGCTTGTCGTCTTGCCCGTGAGCATGGTGTGCATCTGGAACAAAACTTCTTGGAACGAGAGCGCGTTGTGATCGATCGAAGCAAAAATGCACGAGAGAACGTCCAGAATGGGGAGCTCAATGACAGCATCGAAGGGGAGAATGGTTTGCGGGGTAACGAGATAGCGATGGCCGAAGTAATACAGCCAACTGATGCACTGCGAATAGGAAATCTGCTGCACGACGAGGTGATCTGAGAAGATCGCGTTTGCGCACTGGGCAGCAAGAGAATGATAGGATTGAGGTGAGCAAAAATCGCCCAGATTGTATGCTACAGACTCCATCCAGAGGAAGAGAGTCAACGCATCGGTTAGTTCGGTGATCGTTAGACAGTTCTCACAGTGGCTGCACATAGTAAACAGCTTGATTAGACGAGAATACCGATTTTGACTTAAAAAATGTTGAATATATTCCCAGAGGTACTGACGAGATATTGAATTATTGATATTGTTGTTGTTGTTGTTGTTGTTGTTGTTGTTGTTGTTGTTGTTGTTGTTGTTGTTGTTGTTGTTGTTGTTGTTGTTGTTGTTGTTGTTGTTGTTGTTGTTGTGATTCTTATAATTATTATTGTCGTCAAATATCATGTTCAATATCGATAGTATCTTCGTCATGTCAACATTCTACATAAAATAGGATACTCGTACCAACACCAATAAGTTTTAGCACAATTGAGGTCAGATCTACCGGAAAAACTGTTGTACCAATGGAAAAGCTCCTATGTAACAAAAGAGTTTTGAAATCTCATACTCGATAAAGCTATCCATATTCTTTTGCTCTAACACGGGTTCAAAACTATCCATTGTGAAAAAGCTATCTACCCATGTACTCCACTTCGAATTCTTACTTTCACCAATCACAAACAACGACTCGGCTCCTGAGTGTAGGATCGCCACTATTTCCTTTTGCGAATATTGATCATCCCCAATGAAGACCAAATCCTCGGAGAATGGTTTTCTAAAGGCGATTGCACGACAGTTCAGATCACTGAATAAAGTATTAACCTGTGATCGTAAGGAAAATGAATCAAGAGAGGATCTAATAGTTATTCCCCTCTTCACATTTGCAAATATCAAATTCAGAGAGAGTTCTGTATAGCTCATATCAAAGAAAAGAGTGAGTAGATTCAATCCTTTTGGAATTCCAGTATTATGAATCGATCTAGTAATTTTCATTACTGCAATGGAAGATCATTACGACTATTTATACAAGAGTATTGAATGTGAGAAATGTTTATTTTGTAGTTGTACTAATTGGGGATTCAAATGTTGGCAAAACAAACATTCTGTCACGCTTTGCAAATGATGAATTTAATTTGGACTCAAAAGCAACAGTGGGCGTTGAATTTTCTGCCAAATGTGTGAAAGTAAACAATTCTATAATCAAGGCTCAAATTTGGGACACAGGTAGGTATCTTTGTGGCACTGCTGTAATGTATAGCGGGACAAGAGCGATACCGCTCTATTACGAGCGCGTATGAACTTGTGGGTTGGGGTGAGAAATAGGTATTATCGAGGTGCTGTGGGAGCTCTGATGGTTTACGACATCACCTCGCGATCCTCGTTTGAAAATGTGGAGGGTTGGCTGTCCGAGTTGCGTCAGCATTCTGACGGCGACATGGTTGTTGTTTTGGTTGGAGACAAAGGAGGCGTGTCATCTAGATTGGAAATAAGTGCGACCTCGCAAATCAGCGTAGTATTTCGACTGATGAGGCTCGTGCTTATGCAGAAAAGCACAACATGGCCTTCATCGAGACGAGTGCCTACGAGCGAACTGGAATTGACGAAGCGTTTACCATGGTTTTAAAGCGTTTGGGTGATAATCGTGCCTGAAGTCTAGAGATTTATGAACTGAACTCTGGAAACCAGTTGGAAACATCTTCGGAGGTTCCGAGTGCCCTTCCCAAGCCGAAGAACACCGTGAAGATTAACCTGAACACGGATATCGAGAATGAGAAAAAGACAGGAAAGAAGTGTTGTTAATCGTTTTTTGTAGTTTCGTTTGTTTGTTGGAATTTTTATCATTTTTTGTTCAATGGCACTTTTAGCACGTCGGACTTCTCGGCTATTCTAATTTCTAGCAACAAAAGGGCACGGAGCGATCTTTGATAAGTACTCGTGGGAGCAAACCCTCGATTCTGTGACTGTGACGATTCCTGTTGCGGAGAATGTTCGCGGGAAGATGATACAGTGTACAATCGAGCCCTACTCTGTGGATGTATCCTATAAAGCAACAAAAGAGAAAATCTATTCTGTTGCCTATTTGACAATACACTCATCATTAGGGCAAGCTCTATCAACGAATCAAATGTGACGAGAGTTTGTGGACTCTTGAAGGTGAAGGTTCAACTCGAGCAATTCGTCTCGATTTTTCGAAAAACGAAGGAGATTGTTGGTGGCCCTATGTGATCGAGGGGGAGCCGTCTATCGATGTAACTGCGATCAATCCTGATCCTGTCGGAATTGACACCCTAAACGGTGATCTGCGTGCTCAGGTCGAGAAAATGATGGTAGTACATTATGGTTGGGTGGGTATGAAATAGTATGATCAACAAGAAAAGGGAAAGGGTGTTTCACCTGACAAGCAAACTGACAAAGAGAAAATCTTGGAGGCATTCAAGAAGCAGGTATTATTATTATTTTTATATATGTGATTTCATTCATAGCATCCAGAAATGGATTTTACAGATGCCGTAGTGGAATAGTCCAGGTGAATCCGCTTTTCCCAGTCTTAGAAACAACGAGAGAAGGGAGGTTGGCAGGGATAAAGAAGTCTGAATATAAGATAGTTGTTCGTTCGTTTGTTTGTTTGTTTGTTTGTTTGTTTGTTTGTTTGTATATTTTGAGACAAAAATTCCCACGATTTTTGGACAGTCTTTTTCAATCAAAGCGTTATTCTCTCATGTCTCGTGAATATGATGAAAGAACCACGACCTTCTCACCGGAAGGACGTCTTTATCAAGTAGAATACGCCATGGAAGCAATCAACAATGCTCCTTGTGCTATTGGCATTCTCACAAAGGAAGGAATCGCCTTTGGGATCGAAAAGAAAATAATCAGCAAATTATTGGCAAAGATCGGAGAAAGTGAGAAGGTTTATGCTATTGATAATCATATTATGTGTGCTGTGGCGGGACTGACTTCGGACGCCAACATTTTACTACAAAATGCCCGGAAGAACGCGCAAGAGTATTTGTACAAGTACGGCCAGCCCAAGCCCGTAGAGGAGCTTGTTGAGTACATTTGCAGAATTAAACATTCATATACCCAAGTGGGAGGTCTCAGGCCGTTCGGCGTGTCGTTCCTCTTTGCTGGATGGGATAAAATCCACGGATACCAACTCTATCACAGCGATCCGAGCGGTAATTTCAGTGGATGGAAGGCGCATGCGATCGGGTCAAACAGTACGGTAGGTCTGTGTGTACAGAGTCACGAGTAGCTCGCAAGAGACATGCTGAAAAAGGACTACAAGGAGGAAATGACTTTAGAGGAAGCCATGATGCTTGAAGCGCGAGTGTTGTTCAAGACGATGGACGTCAGCGAATTGTCTACAGACAGAATGGAATTCAGCGTTTTACGCCGGTAGGGCTGTGTATCGAGTTTTAGGCTAGACTGGATTCCGGAAAGATTCAGCAGCACGTTCTTACGAAAGAGGAGACGCAAAAAATCTTCGACAGCATCCCTGCGGAGTTGCTTCATAAGGAATGGCTTGTTTGTTTCTCACACTTTCTGTCGTTCTATCTTTTTACTAATAGCCAATGGGTATTATTGAAAAGATCAAGGAAATCGGTGGGGGTCGAGAGAAATCAGACTCATTGTCTAGAAGCCGAGATGGCTCGAACGCAGAAGAACAAGGCGACGGAATTCCACTTTGGAGTGATGAAGGCTCGTCTTGCGAAGTTGCGTTCGGAAGTTTGCTGCTTTTTCTGTGTTTTCATTGTAGCTTCTCGACCCGTCCTCGGGCGGTGGTTCAGGTGGTAAGGGAGACGGCTTTGAAGTCGCCCGTGTTGGAGATGCGCGCGTAGCCCTCATCGGTTTTCCATCGGTGGGAAAGTCTTCGTTGTTGAGGTAGAACTCACCTTGCTGAATGCCAATCATAGCCATCTTACGGATACAAAGTCTGAGGAGGCTGCCTATGAGTTTACCACCTTAACTTGCATTCCGGGAAACGTGTACTACAAAGGGTGTCGCATTCAGCTTCTGGATCTTCCCGGTATCATCGAAGGAGCTGCTTACGGCCGTGGTCGCGGTCGTCAAGTAATCGCGGTCGCTAAGTCTGCCGACCTGATTCTGATGGTTCTGGACGCTGGAAAAGAGGAAGAGAAAAACCACCGCGAGATTTTGGAGCGCGAACTGGAGACGGTGGGTCTTCGTTTGAACAAAGAGCCCCCTCGGATTTATTTCAAAGTGAAGAACGCGGGCGGCATCAAATTCAACGCGACGGTGAAGCTGACACAGCTGGGCGACGATCCGTATGACACGGTGTACAAGATTTTACACGAGGTAAGGACGACTTGCAGTAGTGTGTTATCGTGTTTAGTATCGAATCCACAACGCCGAGGTGATCTTCCGCGATGATTATGGCGTGGACGAGTTGATCGACGTGATCGAAGGCAACCGGAAGTACGTCAAGTGTCTCTACGTGTACAACAAAATCGATACGGTCTGCATCGAGGACGTGGATCGGCTGGCTCGTCTCCCGCACAGCACGGTCTGCTCGATTCGCCTCAATCTCAACGTGGACACAGTCCTCGAATTGATCTGGGAGTACATGGGACTGCTTCGAATCTACACCAAGCGCCGAGCCGAGCCGCCGTCCTTCGACGAGCCCGTCGTTCTCAGCAAGTATCGAAACGGCCTCACCGTGGAGGGCGCCGTCGCGCAGATCTCGCAGGACTTGCTGGAGAAGTTTAACTATGCGTTGGTGTGGGGAACCAGCACGAAGTACAGCCCGCAGCATTGTGGGCTGGCGCATGTGCTGGAAGATGAGGATGTGATCCAGATTGTGAAGAAGACGGTCAACCAGGAGAAACATGATAAGAACTACTCGCAGCAGTGCCAAGCTGTGTATGATAAGTACAAGAAGAAGAAGAAGAGTGGAAAGAGCAGTTAAGAGAGGGATAAGAGAAATTGCACAAGTGAAACGTTACGATTCGGTGCAAACCGATTGCTACTAGAGTGTTTGTTTCTCATCAAACATGTTTACATACACACAATGGCTTCCGGAATCTACATGAAATCAGATATTCCTCGTCCCTCAAACGTAAAGATGAGGTTGCGCACTGGCATTCGTTCTATCTATTGCACCACTATCGTCTATTTCTTGGTGATCACTCTGAGTAGCATTCACTTTCGATTCATCCAAGTCATCTTCAGACACATCAATTGGCTTCTTGTTCACTTCGTGTACCTCCTCTTCCTTGATCATTTCTTCAGGTCGAGCATCCACAGCAATCGACTTAATAATCTGGACTTGATTTCCCTCATCCTTGCTATTGGCACCCTCCGAGATCGCATCCGAGATAACTTCATCAATTGCTCCATCATCCACTGCATCCTTATCAATGAAAGAATCTTCAGGTCGACGATCTACAGAATCACGACTAGAATATAGGTCTGGATTGACTTCATCAGAAATAGCATTCGAGGTAACTTCATCAATTGCTCCATCATCCACTGCATCCTTATCAATAAAAGAATCTTCAGGTCGACGATCTACAGAATCACGACTAGAATATAGGTCTGGATTGACTTCATCAGAAATAGCATTCGAGGTAACTTCATCAATTGCTCCATCATCCACTGCATCCTTATCATTGGGAACATCTTCAGGTAGATGATCCCGGTTGGTATCATACACTGGAATACTGGTGTCCAATCCTTCATATCCAGTACTTGTGAAATCGAAAAAGAGCTTCTTTATCCTCTCTAAGTCGCAGTTGTGACCATCATCAATAACATCCTTAAGCAAGGAGGGAGGAACATTTCCATTCTTCTGGAGAACTCTCCTCTTGCCATCATTATAGATAATGGCCATCAGAGGCATTTCTTCATTGTATATTGGAACCAAATAGCTCACAGACGCAACCACATCCTTCGAATCGGATCTGTATTCTTGATAGTATGGAGTGGAGGAATAAGAATAGAAGGAAGAAATATATCCGCCAGGCACTGTTTCTAAACTGCCAATCATTCTTTCTTCCAGATATGAGGTTGTAGTATCAAGAAGCACAGGCATTCGCTTCTTTTCCACTACCAAATTCTCGCCTTCCTTCTTAACATCCGGCTTGTCAATATTCTTTGGACCTATTTGACCTCTCCTAAAGAACGCATAGTAGTATTCATTAAAGTACACTGCCTCCCCTTCTTTACTTTCAATCTCTACGCAGATCTTTCCATTACTGTTCGGTTTCAGACGATAACCACCAAACGCTCGAATCGTGCTGAACGAGTCATTTGCATCTGCCCTAGTAGTACTTCCCCACTCCACCAGGAACCTGTCCTCGTTTATGTAGTACTTGAGCTGGCCATTTCTGCGGTAAACAATGGAATGGGGATGATAGTGGCCGTTCTGCTCCCTGATATTATAATGGATTCGCAACAGATTGCCATTCTCATCAAACGACGCTTTATCAATATATCGATTGTGAATAATACGCCTGATATACTTGATTCTTTCGTGCTCATCATAGCCAACCTCAATAATGGCAAGTGGATCAATAGGCTTCGAGAGGCCTTCCACATCATTCCTTCGAATTGAGTAGAAGAACGTTTTTTCGAAGCACTTTGTCTCTTCGCTATACTTTACGCTCGAATCGACCACGTAAGAAGAGGTATTGAAATAGTTTTTCAGCTCATCATAGTTATTGAGATTATGCTCGATGTATTCACCAACCATCTTTCCGTTCTTAAAGAACGCCTCTCCCACCTTGTTATGCTTTTCATCAAAGACAGCCTGCTTTCCATCTTTCATAGACTTGACAAAACGACTGCTAGAGAAATCAGTCGGGATGAATATATTCGTTTCCGCACAAAGAGAGTCGTATGTTTCTTGCAAACTCCCCAGCACCTTTTCGAGATCATCGGTAGGCTTTTTATCTAAAGAGCGCGTCTGCTCATTTACCTTCTCGCTGACATGCTTCGGGTCGCTCTCCATCGCCTTCTGCACATCCATGATCTTGTTCTTCACTTCTCCAATCTGGTTCATAAGCTTGGCTCTTCTGTTGCGTTCCTCAACGACCGGGTTGATGGCTTTAAACACTTCTTTAGAGTGTTGAAGCACGCTTTCCCCTAAACATCATTCTGACAACAGAGGGACTCCATACAATCGTGATCCATCGAAGGATCGTCCTCCAGATGTAACTTGGTATCAAAGATAATGGTGTTGTCGTTCGCTCTGCTGCAGTCGAGGTCGCCATATCCATAGACGGTGAATTCCTTGTTCATAAAAGGAATGGTCGTAGAGTTGATGATCAACTTTTGCTGCTCGATATAATGAATGGCCTTCATGGCTCCCAGGGCGCAGCATTCTTCCGTGTTCATGGACTCACTCAATACAGCGTGGAGTAAAGGAAAGCAATACAAAAATAGCAATGACATGAATCTAAATAGCGACAATAATAACAATAACAATAACAACAACACTAGCAACACTAGCAACACTAGCAACACTAGCAATACTAGCAACACTAGCAACAACAACAAAGGATATTATTTCGGGATTTCGCACCTGGACAGTTTCTAACAATACTTTCCGCAACTGACGATTCCGACTTCCAGATCCGGTAATTTCACATCGAGAAAGAGGAGGCAGATTCATAATGAAGGGAGTAATCTCTTCATGGAACTTGTCGATGACGCTCTGCACCCTCGTGCAGAAATCCTCGTACTCGAATCGGAAAATATTCTCGTCGTCCTCCTCGTCACTACTATCGTCACTCACATGCTCCAGCTCGATGTCCACTTCATCAACGCCTTCCATATTGAAGTTGCTCTTTAACTCCTCAGCCTTCTTCACGATACATTGATAGAGTTGCTTATTCTTCTTCACTGTTTCCACATCCTGGTGAATCAATTCGCAAAGCCACAACACGAGCAACCAGTCAAAGTCCGATCCTCCAAGCTCGAACGATTTGTTCGCCACAACTTCCCACCGATTCTACATCCCTTAAAGGCCAAGCAAGCGACTACCTTGAGATACTTCACCACAGTGAGCGAAGTAAATTTGTAACCCATATTCACGAACAGGACGACGTGTCCCTGAGTAGAATCGCCATTATCGTTTCGACCGTAGCCGTACTCTACCGCAATTGCGATATCATCGTGAATATAAACGGCATCGCACAGGTCACGCGTTTGCAATGCTGCTTCAAAACCACGAATGTTCGAGGCAGTGAAATACGCAGGGACCTAGAGCAATCATACAGTCCTACAAGCACCAACACTAATACACAATCTAGAGTGATTTTCAACGAACTTGGAGGCAATTAGGGAAAGATTTTCATAGGTATCATTCTGTTCTTTTTGGCACAGAAAGCAAATATACTCCAGAATCAGTCCCACAACAAGCTCGCTATCTAAATTGAGATCTTCCTTTCCGAAATTAATTTTAAACTGAGCTCTTTTATCCGATAATGTGAGGCTTGGTCTCAATAAATTCCTTTTTTTCTGTTCTTCCTCATTGTGAACACAACCATTTGATCCAAGAACACGTTTCATTCCCCAGATATACAAGTTCTCACGCTGACCCATCTATATTTCACGTTGACACAAAAAACACACAGTCTTTTGAGCATGATTTCCAATAGAAACGGAGTTGTTTCTAAATGAAATCCAATTCCTACACGTCAGGAATAGGCTGATTATCTACATACTGGAAAAACTTTCTACCTAAATCATCTAGTAAGATTTCTGAAGAACTATCTTCCACACCTCCGTTTCTTTCCGTCCATTTGGCTACACGGACGTTTCGTTCTCCAAAATCAATAGAATACATACTACTTATTAAAAAATGCATGTTCCAGTAATCTGTGGCCGCGGTTAATTACGATTTTTATCAAACAGTATTTAAAAGTTAATACAATCGTTTAATTACATGTACAAAATAAGTATCAGAATCTGAAGGGTTTGGGAAGACTTTCCCAATCCCAATAACGTTCGTATTTGAAAAATGGGTCAGACCTCCTGCCCCATCATAGAGGAGTAGCAACCTATCAGTCCAGCATTGAATTTGAATTGGAGAAGAAGGGGACATTTTGGGAGTGCATAATTGTTCTCTGTGAACAATTACTTTATTTGTGCTTTGAAGGCAGGTTTCTGGTGCTTAACTTGCGGATAGTACGTACCTGAAAGACCATTTATGCAACAAGTAGGCAGGTGCTTTAGTAGTTCCACTTCTGGAATTACGGTAAACTCTCCGGAGCGTATTTGCTCTCTGCGGTAAGAAGATAGAATTATCAACACAAGGAACAAGAAGTTTCCACAGACAGATTATGCGACTCCGTGCGTACGAGCTTTGTTACCACCCCATCCGTTGCTACCATAAGAAGAGAATGCAATCCTGTCTACACAAAGCAAGAGCTAGTTCGTGACATAGACTCCGAATATAGGTTCCTTTGCGGCATTTTACTCTCAGCTCCACTTCTGGTAGGGATGAAGGTTTGAAACTTTGGATGTCAATGGAGTCGATGTGAACTCTTCTTGTTTTGGCGACGGGATTCTCCCCGTTTCTCACCAGGTCGCTAAGACGTCGACCTCCAACCTTCACAGCAGAGTAGAGAGGTACTGTTTGAGTAATAGTGCCCACAAACCTGGAAGAATAAAGAAAATAGAAAATAGAGAGTACTTGGGAATGCAATTTTGAATTTTCTGAAGAGTTATAGCAGAAGGAAGTGTGTTTTCTTGTGAACTACTATAGAAGAGGACAATCTGTAGGTATCAAACTTTAGGTGCGCGTTATCCCAGTTCGTTCCGCCAAGAACGGAAACAGGACTAATAATTGGTGACACTACAACGATCCCAACGTGCTACAATCGTAACTGGGCGAAGTGAGTCCAAACTGAAAGGTAGTTACATACGTTTTGGAGTCCTGAAGGTACTACAAGAGAGACAAGGAAGAATCAACTACAGGAAAGAGCTTGGTGGATTTTCCAATTCCTAATAACAAGACGCCTTCTGCGTATGAATCGAGCGTGCCTGAATGACCCAGCTTTGGAATATTTAAGCATTTCTTTACAATATTTATACAGGCGTTGCTACAGACATCTGTAGGTCAAGAGACAAGTCTGCCCCACACATTTTGGTTTGTAGAGGTTAATGAATCCTGATATCATGCTAGATTGTGGCTAGAATAAACATAAACCGACTACTAATTTAACTCAACTCTCTCGTTGTATACTTTAATACTCTCATACGTGGTAACTTTCAAGAGATAATAGAAAAACACAAAGATTGCAAAGACTTTCTGGAAACAGTCCATATAAAACGTTAATCCAAAATAGTTGAGAATTGCAAAGAACAGACACCAGTACCAGTACCTAGGCACCATCACAGATCGCAGCAGGGTAGAACTGAACGGTCTGAACACTTTGATGTAACAAGCAACGACCCATTGACATGCAAAGAGATATAGGATCGCCAGGAAAAGCGCCAGGTGTGCAGGCATCAGTCTAGAATTCGAATCAACAGGGACTAATCAAACGCTGGAACCACGAAATACATGGTTTTGAAGGAGAAGAAGAGCGTAGCGACCGCGATGCCCACCGAGAGCGCGTACCACAAGAACCACTTTCTACAAATGAGGGAGGTTCGACGCGCCCACTGCTTAATGGAACTGATCAGAGAGCACATCAAGGGAGTGTTCTTGCGACTGTAGATCAGCTTCTTCACCATCAGCATGTTTCCGCACACAAATAGCAGAATGCCCAGCAGACGCAGCAAGAAGGAGACGGTCCAGTTATCTCGGAGCAGGGAGCGCTGCTGGTTCCAGTACCAATGCATATCCAGAATCGGATAGCTCCACCAGTACCAAGGCTGTTTCGTGCACTCCTCCCCACATTCCTACCTTGGCGATGGGAGTAATCGCGTAGGTCAGACTGTAGAACGGCTCGCTGCTGTCCTTTAAACCAAAGACACGGAACTGATCCATGGTTCCCTCGACATAGTGCAGTCTAGAGAGAGAGCACAAAGACACAACAGAATTACATGTGATTGTTGTTGTATCCGATCGAGAGACGCTGCATTTTCGGCATATCCTCCTCCTTGAAGGGATGGTCGGGGTCGAACAAGGGAGCCTTTTGGAGACCTTGGAAATATGCAACTAAAAAGCCTTGATCCGCTCCATCGTAGGATGACTATGGAGAATGAGAGAATGAAAATAATAGGAACAAGAGTAGCTAGACTTTTGAGCAAGTCATTATATGTATCATTGTTGGGGGTTACAACAAAGAGACCTGTATGGAAGTTACATGGATTCATATAGACAGCACAAAAATGACCACACTTAAAGAGAGAGTCAATATTGTGGAAGAAGATGTTATCCGCATCCATATAGATCACTCGTTCATAGTCTAACATATTCCACACGTAAAGCTTGTTGAGAGTGTATTCAAAGTGATTCTTGTATGAGCGTCGTCTTCCTGCATCCTTCTTATATCTAAGCGTAAGGCAACAAGGAAAAGTACAACGGGTTTTCAATATTTCTAATTTCGCGTAATTGGCATCCAATTTCAAGGAACTGCTTCTTCGTAGACTCTCTGACATTTTCACTCACTAAAATGATAACATCCTGTTCTAGATATGATTATTGCGCATACTCTTCTCCTACTAATTCCATGAGCAAATAAAGACTTTGCCCATACGCGGACAGCGAGTGCATATTCATCATCCCTCTCTGTTCCCTCATAGTGGATGGTTACATATGCATATCTACAATAAGGTAGGAAAAGTGGCAAAATACTTTGCAAGAGCAAATTCCATGACGAGGGCAAGGAAAACGAGTCTCAATATTGCATTCATTGTGTTTAAGAAAAATATGCATGGATTTGGGATTTTTGCTTGAAAAGAAGGAGCGATTTGATATTGAGAGTAATCTGTTTTTTGTGAACCTTATGGGGATATGGGAGTGGAGGGAGTGGTAGATCGAAAATCGATCCCTGGTGATATTGATGAGAAAGGATTCTTGTAAATAATCCTATTAACTTATAATAAGAATTGCTATGGAAAATGTATAGAGCTTTGGAGAATTGATATTGTAGTCAGAGAACAGCGGCCAAACATGGACCCAGAGCCATCCAGACTGGGTACCTTCTGGTTGTACATTTTATGAAATAGAAGATGAACAGAGAAATGGCGAATCCCTGTTTTCGAAGTGGATGGGATCATAGCTACGTGCCTCCAAAGAAGTACAAAGAAGATGTAGAGAATTTGGGGAAGGGAGGGGGTGATGGATAGGTACCAACGGAAGATATCTATGTCTGTGACAATCCACCAGAGGCTCCATCTGAAAACCAGTGGACATGCGACCCTATGTGGCTTGACCAGTTTGAGAAGATGTTTGATTCGTCGCCTCCCCAAGCGAATGAAACTGGGGAGTATGGGTGTGGTGATGGGGAGTGTGGGTATGGTGAAGGGGAGTATGTTGCGGGGTGTGGTGAAGGGGAGTGTGGGTATGGTGATGGGGAGTGTGGGTATGGTGATGGGGAGTGTGGGTATGGTGATGGGGAGTGTGCTGCGGGGGGTGATCAAATGATGTATGAGGGGGGTGATAACGGACAATGCTATGAGGCATATGATAACGGACAATGCTATGAGGCATATGACAATGGACAATGCTATGAAGGGAGTGACCAAATGATGTATGATGCCAATGCAGAACAGCAATTTTATGAAGACAACCATGAGGTGGAAGGATGTGAAAACTATTATGACAATGATCAGATACAAACAAACCATGATACAAGCAATTTCTGCAACCATGATATACTGTCCGATCAGAAATCCATATCTACAACACCTTATACACAATATCAAGAAACAGAGAACACTCTAAGCACGACTACCCCATGCTCATCACTGTATGATAGCCAATATCAAACAGCGGACCAACTACACTCAGATTCCACCATGTACAACACCGACCAGTGCATACACACATACAACGTAATCAACACGGTTGAAAATGTACATTTCTGTTAAACGTCTTCATTAGATTCAAACACCAGAAGATGTTTTAATACAGCAAGTCCATCTAATGAAAATAGCGGGAGAAATCACCGAGTTTGAAGAATCGTTCCTGCAGCAATTAATACTCGAAAAAGATCCCTCTGTAAGAGAAACACTGCGGCGATACTCACTGTACACACAGACCGCCCTCTTTCATCTAGTGGCGACAGTCAGTCCCTCGTTCAGCTTCTACACGCAAAGGATGGTAATTCCGATCTGCTCACAAAGAAGGATGAAGAATATGCAACCTATCTTTCGCAGCACGAGTCCCAAATCACTCAGCAGCAGCAGCAGCAGCAACGTTCACCCTTCCAGCAATTGTACGCTTCGCTTTATGACGAAAACGGATCGGTCACTGTGTCCACGTTCACCCCAGAGGATGCACTGTATATCGATTGATTCAAAATTCAGAAACACTAGGAGAATGACCAGCATTCCGCCACTCTTCAAAGTGAACGAGACTCTTTGCGGTCTCATTCTCAAGCGTGTAACTTCCAAAAAGATATTCAAGAAGTGGAATCGCTGCGTGTTCGTGGTAAAGCCAAGCTTTTTGCAACTGTACAGAACGGCAGATCATTGGAAACGCCAGGGACCCATCTACTGGCAGACAAACATTCACTCCTTCATGGTAGCAGTCATAGGTTACTCACATTCAGCACGCTGCGCCTATCGTACGCAAAACCTACGACAACATTCTCATCTACACGTTTGAATTGCTTGAAAACCCAAGAACCAATGTTCACACAAACGCTGCTATTCAAGGAGTGGCCTTTAGTGCCTCCCTTCCAAGTGAATATCGCTGAGTCGTTATTATCCTTTGTAGTACGCGAGGTAGCTGTATTTGGATCAGCTTATTTTGGAATCGTAAAAGCTCTCCGCGACAAACTGGAGGAGGACATTCAACAAAAAGTGTCCGAATTAGCTGCCGAGGGATAAGCATCATGGATACTTCAATATCCTGTCTGATAAAGGCAAGTACGAAATACGATTTCGATTTTGAATGTTGTTTGTTGATAATCAGGCTCAAAAAGGTATTTCCAAAAATAGGGCCGAATTTGAATGAATGGACATTTCATTCTCAGGCACAGTATTCACCTTTTGTTGTTATTGGAATGTTTTTGGTAAACTGGTTTTACGACGTGTTATATTACCTAGGTACAAGAACTCTTTGCACACTATTTCTATAGGTCTTTGGCAGAAGGAAGGCAAGCTTCTTTTCCTTGGATTAGATAATGCCGGAAAGACTACACTTCTTGATGTGCTGAAACAGGGAAGACTGACTGTTCATGAGCCCACTCTTCATCCTAGTAGGTGGTTGCTTTTTCGTGTAACCACATAGATTCGGAAGAGCTCGAAATTGGCAAAATCAAGTTTAGAACGTTCGATCTAGGTGGCCATGAGTCCGGTATGTCCCAGGTTGTAGAGAGTTATGTGTAGCAAGACAGCTTTGGAAGCAGTATTTTACAAATGTCGATGGCGTTATTTTCCTTGTTGATGCCGAAGATAAGGAGCGTTTCCCCGAGGCTCGCCAGGAGCTGAGCGTTTGCTTTTTTGCGGGAGATTCAGCCATAGGAGCTTCTCTCCGACGAGCAGTTAGCTAATGTTCCTTTTGCTGTTCTGGGAAACAAGATTGACTTGCCGGGCGCAGCCTCCGAGCAGGAACTCCGCATCAATTTGAATTTGGTGGATACATTTGGAAAGGACGTAGAGCCCGCTGGTTGTTTGACATGTAGAATTTTGACAACCCTTCCGGCGTTCGTCCGATCGAGCTGTTTATGTGCAGTGTCTCAAAGAAGATCGGATACACTGACGGTAGGGCGTGTGTGGGAGGTGTGAGAGTGTAGCGTTTAACTGGATTTCCAACTTTATTTAAATAACATGTGGATCTGTGTGTTGGCTGTTTGTTTGAGGAAAGTGATGTGTATTTTAAATTGTTCCTGGAGATGGAGTATGCATTGTTTGAGGAGATGGAGTATTCATTGTTTGAGGAGATGGAGTATGCATTGTTCCTGGAGATGGAGTATGCATTGTTTGAGGAGAGAGTGTTCTTCAATGAGTGAGGAAAGTGGGTTGTCTATTTTTTGGTTGTACGAGGAATAGTGATCTGCATTCATTGTTCCTAAAGATAGAGTATTCATTGCTTGAAAAGAGAGTATGCATTATTCGAGAAAAAATATACACACACATTGCTTAACCATTATACTGTTTGTTCGAGGAAAAACAACATGAATTCATTGATCAATAAAAGAATAGCCATACTCATTGCTTGGGCATTACCTTCGATGCGTCCACCGAACGGATCCGAATCGAGTTCGATGACTCCCTACGCGTCAGTCCCTCGCTTTACCCCTACAAAAGAGAAGGACCTTGCTCGAAAGTATAGCTGCATGCAATCGCCAGCTTCGTTCCGTCACGATTAAACGCTAGCTGGGCGACTCCAGGATAATAACTACAGATAATCGACCTCTCGCCCGATCCATCCTACTCCTGAAAGATGGCGAGGCGTTTCTTCGCCGAGGCGTCCCAGATACAAACCGAACCGTCCGCTCCGCCAGTAGCGAAGGTGCGGTAGCTACGCGTTGAGCGGGACTGTTAAAGATTACAGAGGATGAACGCAAATGGAATTCACCGGATAGCACAATTCATTGTAAGCGTCGGTTTTACGGTGACAACGGAAAGAAAACGGCTTCTCCTGCTCCGAGCTGGAAATGTACTCCACACCAACACGGCCTTCGATGCTTCCTACGACGTATCCATTCCCGTCTGTAAAGGCTGCAATCGAGCGAAGGCTGAATTTGAGCAATGATTCCTTTTCACAGAGCAACGTCGGCGAGGTCGCCAGATCATAAACCACAATTTGTCTGTTGTCACAGAGAATAAACAACTTTCTATGCATTATAGCGCTCTGCCGTTTCTACAAGTCCTGGGAAACACTCATCATGGTCGCCTTATTGGAAAGGGTAAAACTATACGTGGGTGACTTGGGATCGGGATTGTCAATGTTCCAAAATTTTACAGTTTTATCCCAGCTACAGCTCACAACGTTCTCTACACAATAGCAAGACAATCTTGCCTTACTCATCGATTCGATATACAGGGTACAACTAACGGCTGCATTGTGGTATCCTATCACGTGTTCTTGCTTTTTTTGAAAGTCATATCTACAATTAAGTGTCCCGCAAAAAACAACTACAATTTCACTTCACAGTCGAGACCTCCGTAACAGACTAAGTCATTGGTAATAAAATCGCACGATAAGAGGGCAGCTTTACTCACAAAGCGACTAAGCATCTTAATTTTGTCAGTATCATAAAGTGAAATCGACTAGACGTAAATTGATACCAAAAACAATCACCGCATCCCAAGAAGAGACAAGAAGGAGATCCGACTCTTTTCCATATCGGACACACGAAATGCAATCATTTGGTGCGTTATCGAGAACGATTTCTTCCATCACAAAATGGTTTTGAGATCATGGATAATGGTCAGTGTTGCGTGTTTTGCTTTCGTAGGTTGTGAGAGCAAAAATCAAATAGAGATTTCGAGAGAAAATAGCGAAAATCGAGATTACCAAAAAAGGAGTTTCATTTAGAATTGGAACATAAAAAATGGAAGAGAAGGATACAGGGGACTCAAAGACGAACGCAACGAAGCGTGCAGAAGAGAACAAGAAGGAAGAGCAGCCTACCAGAAAGAGAGAACATAAGAAGTCCTCTGTAAGGACAATCGTTGAATTCGAAATGTAGAATCACGATGGAAAGAGAACGAAATCAAGAGGAGCTGTAAAAAGGCATATTGTATGGTGGTTGTTGTAACGAATAGAATTCAAGCAGAACTCACAGAGATTATGTTAGAGCCGCCGTTTGGCATCATTGCGGCACCCAAAGACTGTAACATGTATATAATGGTGCGCTTTTTCAAGTAGATTTGAATGGGAAGCAAGACTAAACGGTCCAGAGGACACACCTTATGCCGGTGGCGTATTTTTCTTGGATATCCATTTCCCTGAAGAATATCCCTTCCAGCCGCCGAAGGTACAACATGGTGTGTAGTCTCCACCCGTAGATAACATTCCGAACGAGGATTTACCATTGTAACATTAACTCGAGCGGTGTTATCTGTCTGGATACCATAAAGAACAATTGGTCTCCTGCACTCACAATCAGCTCTGTGCTAATCACGATCATGCAGTTATTGACCCAGCCAAACCCTCAAGACCCTTTAGTAAAGCCGATCGCAAACGAAATGATCAACTCTCCCGAAACGTTCTTTAAAACCGCTACTGAATGGACAAAGAAATATGCATCTCCTGAGTTAACGAAGGAAAAGTGCCTTGTTTCTTAACAAACACATGAATCGTTCTTTTTCTCGTCGCTCACAGGCTCGTAGCGCGGCTTTCTCTAGCGTTGAAAAGAGGAAAGCGATCGATACGCAGCAGCAGCAGTGAACAACAAGGGTAGCCACAATACCGATAACCATTCCAGAACCCATCAATGCGAAGCACGTTACAAACGGATCAGCGCCCAGGTGGCGACCCGCTCGCTGCGACAAATCCTACGCACTCAATGCACACCCAGAACGGAACTTCGATGTAGGTCTCATACCAGGAAGGAAGGCTCGGGCAGTTGCTGAACGAGGCACTCTTGTATCCTTCATGCACGAAATCTTTCAGCGAATCCAAATCGCGACCTCCGTTATAGGTGGCGTACTTTCCCTAGTGTATTACTACTCTGTTAGGCACTAAAATATACACTGTCAAAGAATAGCAGAGTAGGGAAGCCCTGGATGTTGTAAAGCTTCGAGAGCTGCGGGTTTTGGGTTGCGTCCACCTGCAACTAAAGAGGGAGCTGCTCTACTTACCTCAGCAATGTTTACTTCGTTCAGAGTGGCCTCTGCGAGTTCTTCCCACGTGGGAGCAAGTCTCTTGCAGTGTCCACACCACTACATGTTAATAAGCAAAATGGTGAGAACAGGAGCATAAAACTTTACAAACCAGCGACCTGTGGTAGCTCCAGTTGTCATTTGAGTCTTTTCTTCGAAATTGGCATCATTCAATTTAATGACATCTGGAAATAAGTATGTAGATGAGAGAATCGTACCGGCAATGACAATTGATAAGAGGAAAAAGAAAAGGGTTGCACTATGCAAATTAAATCGTAATGATATTAATTCCTACGTCTTCATAGTAAAATGATAGTAATGTGAGATTCAAAAAAAGGTTCTATATTTGGAAAATGACTATTTTTTGGAAAATGGAGTTAAAAGATCTTAGTGTGCTGCTGAATAATATGCGAAATAGAAAATAAAGAAGAATGTGAGGGACGCCCTAGGGAATTGGTAGTGAAATAATTGAGATGGGTGGAATCATGACGAATGTGAAGGTTATTGGTAGGAAGGGTGATGAGATAGGAGGAGAGGGGAGGGGAGAGTGTGTGTGTGTGTGTAAGTGATGAGATAGGTTGATAGGATGTGGAGTGATGAGATAAAAGGAGAGGGGAGGGGAAGGTGGAAAAGTGATATGATAGAAAGCCCGCTATTACTGCTCTTGCCCAGAGTGACAAACAAACAAAAACGATACAAAAGAAACCACATCAACCACACGTCAACCTCTCTTAAACATTATACCGAAGCAATGGAGCTGATTCCCGGTTCATTCCTCTAGTTTGAAAGGAGCTAGGAAAGGCATCAATACTAGAATCCGAATCACTCTCTTCGTCCTCAGTCTATGTCTGAGACACTCGTCCACGTCTCACATTGAGAAAGTCCCAGGAAAAATTAAAGTTGGAGGAATGAATAGGCAAGAACCACTGGACATAAACAAGACAAACCAATGCTACGATCCAGGGATTATCATCCATGACGTTGCACCAGTTGCGATAATAAGAACGCTTCTTATGCGCGAAGAAGGATCCACGAAGCAAGCTGCGCCAAAGTTGATTTGCTTCTATCGTGGTTTTGTCATTGAAGACTAGCCAGACGTGAAATCCGCCAAAGAATGTGAGAGTCAACGCAAAGGAAAACGCAAACATGGGACTAGAGATAGTATCGCAAGACAGAGAAATACGCAAGCAAATAAAGAGAGAGGGATAAAATCGATCTCGAGGAAGGACGTGCATTCAGCGGCAATCCTGCCCTCGCTGCACTTATCGAAATATCCAGGCAACCAATCCACGCATAAAACAAAAAGAGTACAAAGAATTTCTTGTTTAGATACCCGATGCAGTTACACATCCAAGGACAGTGATGGTCCATGTTAACAATACACATCTGCATGACAAAAGAAAGCCAGACCCTACTCTACAGATACGACAATGATGACAACGAGGGGGCTTTTCACGAGCGCATGTTTCGCAGTATCTCAAGTCATAGCAACCAAATTGCTCCTCATAGTTGCTTAAATAGTCAGCAGTTACAGGTCCAGGATCTACATTAGAGACATGAAAAACAAAAACGTGTAAAGACACAAGCTAGGTAACTCCACCAGCATAATACATAGATGGAGAGAAACAATAGGGTGTGAATACCCCGAAAAATAACCTGAGTTAAAGTGGTACTCCCTATTCCAATAGCGATAAGTGATAAAGAATACGCAGCAAGAAAGGAATATAAATATTAAAAAACGGGTAAAATTCAACAGCTAAGAAACCAACTATCAAAAGTCCAGGAATTGCGGATGCTATTCGTATACTACGACTATCAATTAGAGAAAATAGAAAATATGAGACTATGGACTGAACATTTAGAAAATAAGTGATTTGAAATGGAAAGATCTGGAGTACAAAATAGGAAATGTGAGAGGAGAATTCACAGTACATAAAACGAAACATAAGGAATGAAACATGAGTGCTGGCCATTGCTCCAATAGAGGTAATATATGTGATATTGATTTGTGAGAATGAAAATACATTAAATATGGTAAAAAAAGAGAAAAGATACAGGAATGCAAATCTACCTTCAAGTTTCCATATTTTAGTATTGCAATCAACAGAAAAGGAGCAAGATAAGTAACTGGATCGATTGCTTCATCTCCATAATCCTATTTGAAAAAAGAATAATGTATGTGGAATGAAAAGCATATTTGTATTACATGTGGAATAATTAGCAAATATGCATTGGATGTGGAATGTATAGCAAATATGCACTGGATGTGGAATGAATAGCAAATATGCACTGGATGTGGAATGGATGTTTTACAAAACGCTTTAATAGAATAACTATTTTGAAGTTCAAAAGAATAATTGAAGGCTATTGTCGTAAAAAAGATGTTATTGGATTACTGTAACATTCAATGGTTGAGGACATTCTAGACCAAAAAACCGGAATAAAGAAAATATATTCGTAGAATGCAGGGAAATGAAATGCGAATGGAGAGAGATTGGATAATAAGGAAATCACTCAGTATTGACTGCATGAGAGTTCGTTCTACTCAATTCGTACTCTATGTGGTATTACATACCATGAATTACAAATCAAAGGCAACCATTATTCAGTATACAACCAATCACCTATATTTACACAGAGAATTACCAACATCATCCCTTCCACTAAAGCCATATCTTGAAAGCATATTCAACACCACAAAACGATCCACACAACCGAATCTCCTTGGCAAAACTTCAATCCATCAACATTACGTTTCCTTTTACAAATAAAAAACCCGATCCTCCATATATAGAGTGTGTACAATCATATTCACATACTTTTGTAATTAGAACAGAATATTCTAGATACATGGAATCTCCTGAAATAATCCAAGAGATCCCACCACTTGTATTGAAGAGTTTGGGAGATCGTTCGTATGACAAAAGAAAGAAGGCAGCTTTTGAAATTGAAAGCATCGTGCACCAAATGCATGTAGAATGATGAGAATTAATCTCAAATTCTAGGAAGCAGGAGACAATGAGAGAATTCGGAAGATAATCCATAAAATGAGTAGTGAGGCCCAGAGCTCATCAAGCCAATACACGCGAATGGGAGCATTAATGGGTTTAGCATCATGTGCAATAGGAGTGAGTAGCGATATTTCTAATTATATCGTTCTGCTGTTGCCTCCTATTCTAAATTGTTTTGATGACGAAGAATCGAGGATACGCTTTTATGCTTGCGAGTCGCTGTACAATATAGTGAAAGCTGCAAGAAAAGAAATATTAATATTTATTAACGAGATATTTAGTACCTTATGCGAATTGTACGCCGATGTCGATGTTGAAGTGAAAGAGATATCTTTTATAAAATAAGGTTTTATATTTTCAAAGGAGTAGTGTACTTAACAACACGCTGCCTCGTTGCTTGATAAGCTGTTGAAAGAAATCGTAACAGAGACGCAGCAATTTGATTTGGAAAAGTTTATCCCGCTTATGAAACAGTATGTGAACGACAGAAGTCCTCACATTCGACGGTTGCTCATATCATGGATCGATATTATGGACAACATTCCAGGAATCGATATTCTCGATTTCTTACCCGAGTTTTTAGCGGGACTGTTCGATATGCTGAGTGACCCACATCGGGAAATAAGACAGGTAAGATAGGAAATTAGGTTTCATTGGATAGGAGGCCGATGCTCTGCTGCAAACTCTCCTTTCCGAGATCCAAAATACGGATGTTGGTGAGTTTAACATAAACACGATGGAAAGAGATAGAGGAATTACTCACTCCTAGATTAACACAATCATTACGCAAGCACATAGCCGAGATAAATTTATCCGCCTCACAGCAGTTTCGTGGATTCGCGAATTTGTTCACGTCGGAGAAGAATGGGGCCTCCCTTACAGCCAATTGTTGGAAGCTTTACTTCCTTGTCTCTCTGACGAGGAGGAAGAAGTCCAGCAAGCAGCCAAGAACGCTTGCTTGGACCTGATGGACAATGTAAATACGATGGAGCACGGCTATTGAGTAGTTTAAGCATTGCAGCTATTGTACAGACGTTGGAAAACTGGCGGTTTTGGTGAACGATGGTCTCGCTACAACCTCGAAATTGACTCGAATCGTGAGTTTAGAGTTTACTTCCCTCCTGTTGTCGCATTCTCCTGTTTCTCCTGCTTCAACGCTTTCTCCCGGTTCCTCCACGTCTCCCAATTCTCCTTTGATGATATCGACGGATTATTCGCAGCTTCTGTTCAGAACCAACTTGCTGCGCGCAGTGGAAGATACTCATAACGAGGTGACAGAGCTGGCAATCCGGATTCTCCTCGAGTATGCGTCAAGACAGAATGATTTGGAACCAATTCTACGCGATTTGCTGGATATTCTAGAAAAGAGCGAATTAATGAAGGAGCGAGGAACGCTAGTTTTGCGTTGGCTGTGCAAATACGAAAACCCCGAGGTTGTTTACTACCACCTTGCCACGGTTTTGCAGGTAGGGATGTTTCGCTTAAGTCAATCAAGCAACTCTCCAATCACGAGTTTGGATCTTTGATCGTGGATCGCCTGAATACATTACTGCTGACGGATGAAATAACGGTGTCCATTCGATGTCGTTTGCGAAGCTGCCGGTACTACTCACAGAAAAGGGACGAGCAAGCGGAGAAATTGTATGATGCCCTGTACATGATCGGGATCCAAGATGACAATTAGATTCAAAGCGTTTTGTATAAATCCCATCGCGGTTCTTTCATTGTGCTGGTTTGCAGAAGATTATCCGGTTGCTGAGAGAATCACAAAATCTCTTGGAGACTCCTCTTTACAGTATTCCTTATTGTATCAAGCAGATCGACTCATCCAGATATTTGAATCGACTGTGTTTGCTCATGTGCGCCTTCACTTTTTGGACATGGACAATCCGAAGCTTCATTCAATGTTGCAGAGTATTTTTGGACTTCTGATGGTCTTACCTCAAACAAAAGCATATTCGATGTGTATCAAGAGATTGTCTAATTTATCCAATGTGTATTACCTACTTAATAGAGACTAGTAGTGTTTGTTCCAGATGTGAGCGACATGCAAAGGTGCAACGGGTCTAAGGATAGGAAACAAATCGGTGAATAGTTTTGAGAAAAAGTCAAGAGGTTAGAAATAATAGAAATAAGAATAAGAATATGATTGTATATAATAATAGAATTTATGAGTAAAATGGATTCCCATGGTTATTGTAAGTAGGTATGCTAATGATGTGCCTACACTATTACTCTTTGACAAATCAGAGGACGAAGAGATATACTATCTGTTTTTGTAGGGACAATATTTAGATTATGATAATTTTATAAAGTATGGAAGTCTAGAAATGGAAAGGAGATGATATTGCTGTAATAATCAAATAGACAACGAGAAGAAAGATTGAGTTATCCCATCAAGAGACAAATCACATTGAATAGTCTGCTGCTTATGATATTTATCCTATTCATTTTAGGAGTGGTCATCAATTGAAAGCACAGAAAAATCAAATATTATCTTTTCACAAAAATAGTTGACATAGCTGAAACGAGTGAAAGAATAAAATGTTTACAGAATGAGAATAATTATGTATCGCTTCGAGGACAAGTAACTACTGAAAAGAATACCAAGCTTCCTATCTATCGTTTGACAAAATTGTGTTTTGATAAGAATAACTTCTCATTCATTTTGATTTACACTTTTAAGAGATCGAAGAATAATTATAGAATCATACGTAAGGGTAATCATTGCCAGTAAGGCAAAACCATGAGACTGACAAGTAATACTAATATTAACTCCAAAAGCTGTTTCTACACAATTGTGTGGCTTTTCATGTTTTTCAGGTTGTAACTATGTAATTGAGGAGTATATCATAGGGTACTATACCTGATAGTAATAGATATAAACGATTTCCGATTTGCTCCGCAAACACTTTCCCAAATAAATGTGTTATCAAACAAAATGTAGGATTCACAGTGATTATGAATAGTTTATAAACCATAGAATTACCCCAAAACCAAATCAAAGCAATGTATCTATGTTGAATTGTTCTTTCTATATACATAGAGTATGAACACGATTGTTCTACATCCTCCAAAACCAAGTAACGTTTCTACACCCGGCGCAAGCTCTACAACATTAAAAAACATTGACAGCAGCTCATTGAATCCAAGAAATGGCAACAGCTCATTGAATCCAAGAAATGGCAACAGCTCAATGAATCCAAGAAATGGCAACAGCTCAATGAATCCAAGAAATTACTCAAAAGAAGTTGAGATGATTCTGAAAGCATCAAAGAACCATGTCGTAAAATGGGGCAATGGATTTCGGGATGATCTTCCAGGCATCAATGATAATAATTATGGGTAGGAAAAAAGAACTTTCACTTTTTTAGAGATCAATTAATTGGAAACAGTACCGAGCGCATAGAATTTGGCAAGATTAAATCGAAGGAGCTAGGTAATTTGTTGGTTTTGTTTTTGTAAAGTCAAAAAATAGAATTCGTTCCAAACGAAAACTGTTCCTTCTACCCAATACCAAAGGTTTAGGAAATCGATTACAGCTTTTCTGTGGTTTGTATTTCATATCTATCCGACATAACTGTTCTATTGTGAGTAGGACTGTGCCTTGTTTTCTTTTAATGATTTTAGTTCCTCATTCTGCCTTGTGGCACAAGTTTTGGAATATCAAGCAATTCTTCCCTCAGCAAGTTGTCTTTGCTGATGATGAAGGTATCGATAAGTGAATAACCATTTAATTGAATAGACTTGAAGTATCTATTTCATTTTAGCTATCTTATTGTTGTGAAGGCTTATGGTGACTATATAAAAAGAGACTTACAGCAAATCAAGAATTTTATCATGACGGGCGATGAGCAAATAGGATTACCTACAGGTATTACCGCAATTATCGGATATTCACATATTCTTCGATTCATTCTCGATTCTAAACCTTATCATTCCATTCTATTAGCCAGTGGAATTACTAGTTTCCAAAAAGATGTATCGTCCCATTTGAAGGTTTACTATTGTTATGGAGAGTTTTTACGAGACATTATGCAGATTACCGATCTGACAAAGGAAATGATGAAGGTACGGTATCCGATCGTATTTGAACAACCCTATGATGCAATTCAGCTGAGAATGGGAGGAGAGCTATCGGATATTCCCAATCCATATCAATTTCTTACCATGGAGTCTTTGAATGTTGCTATTCGATGTGTTGGAACCTATTGCAAGTCAAAGAATATTTATGTAGCTTCTGATTCCATGAAGGCAAAACTATTCATGAAAGAGAGATTACAAGACAAGAATGTCACTTTTATGAATGAGACGTCTCTATATTCGGATAGTCAAATGAATAACATGGAAAGTGTTTACATCGCTACCTATTCTGCTGTGGCTGATATCTATATTCTGGGAAATAGTCAGCAATGCATAATGACGGAAGATAGCACATTTGCTTATGCTGGATGTGCTATCACAGGGAAACCACCAGTGATAATTCCGTGGAGGAAACAAGTATGTTTAGAAAGTGATAGCTTAAAAGAACTGTAGTTGAAAAGAATATATAGAAAAAAGAAAATATCGTTCTGGCTGTTTTGTTAAATATACACATTGTCAGGAATTGAAACCATAAAATTTCAAAAATGCTTTAGGCGTGGCACTTTCAAAAAAAAGGTTGATGCGTGATCAATGTACTGACGAAAGGAAATACTACTACACTGATGTCAATCAAATCATTATGATTTAAATGAACGAAGATTGTCATGTTGACAAGTGTCCCACTTGACAACACCTATTGTCAATTTTGATGTATATCAAAAAAGCGACTGCAATAAGGGTAAATCAAGAAAAAGAGAGGAATCCATCAAAATTATTTGTCAATAATAAGAAATAGAAGAGAAAATACCAAACAAACTACTTGTATAGAAATCCATGAACAGAATAAAACCACTATTTAGGCAAAAATTGAAAAACCAACCAAAAATCGACTTGTCAATCAATCAAGTACAAAATCATCACCAAAATCATTTATGCTGATGTTATTCTATATTGTGATAGTTTCTTGCTTTTTGTAACTTTTTGCTTTCTATCATAATGTAGCATACATACGACAGTTATTGGCTTATTATCGCAATATAATCTCAGTATATTTTATCACGAAGTACAAGGTACTAGCCGAGCAAAAATGTAGTGCATATTATTTTGGTAAATAATAGACTTCAAAATGATTCAATGAGAAGAAATTCTTCAACTTATACAAAACCTAATAGAAGTAACAACACTCAAAAAAAAGAAAGCAAATCTTTAAGCCATAATCATAACACATCATCCCCCCAAACAAGTATAATTACTCAGTCTATTCATCGACAGATATCTCTAAAACTATTTCAAGAACCACTGTGGGATCGCTTTTCTTGAAGCAGAACGATCATGCATTAAAGAAAGGAGCTATAATTAAAGATTCCTTACCAGGGATTATCAATAAATTTGGGTAAAAGAAAACTATCTATTATCCTGTAGAGATAAGTTAACACAAACAAACAATTCACGCATTCCTAGTACGCAAATAAAGTCAATAGAGCTCAGAAGATTGTAAAGGATCGCAAAGATACTTAGCAATAGAGTTGATTCCCAACAGCAAATGATATTGCTCCCAAACTATAAGGGCTTGGGAAATCGCTTACAGCTGTTTAGTGGACTGTATTATATGTCCATAAAACATAAAACCCCAATAATTAGTTTTTTCCTTTTGCTCTATTAAACTTAGTTCCATTTTCTGCTGTATGGCATAAAGTGTGGTCAATCAAACAAAACTATACAGGACATATTGTATATGTTCCTGATGAAGGTAATTATTGAAGTAGCTGTTGTCATAGATATAAATTACTTGCTACATTATAGTTATTTACTAGTAGCCAAACCAACGGTGGAGTATATATATACAGACATGCAGTATATCAGAAATATGATATTCACCGGGAATTCTAGTCGAGTATTTCCTACAAGAATCACTGCAGTAATCGGAAACGCACTTTTACTTGGATATATTATCAATTCTGCCTTCTATCATGATATCCTAAAAAACAATGGCATTGAAAGCTACAACGCAAAACTAAATTTTGGTTTAAGGGAATACTACTGTTTTGGAGAATTTTTGAGAAATGTGATGCAAATCACAGAGTTAACAAAGGAGATAATGAAGATGAGATATCCCATTGTGGATACAGAGCCTTTTGATGCAATGCAACTCAGAATGGGTGGAAGACTGTCTGACTATCCTTTGCAACAGCAATGGTTAACTAGAAAGTCTCTTGCTGTAGCAGTAAGTTGTGCAAAGATGTATTTCAATTCCTCTAATATCTATATTGCTTCGGATTCGATGTATGCCAAAAACTACTTGAAAAAGTATTTGGTCAATCGTAATGTGAGTTTCGTGAACGAGAAAGCCCTGTTTTCAGACACTCAAGTCATGAATTTAGACAGTGTTTCAATAGCAACATACACAGCAGTAGCAGACTTGTACATACTGGGAAAAAGTAAATCGTGTATCATGACAAAAGACAGCACATTTGCATTTGCTGGATGTGCCATTTCTGGTAATCCCCCCATCACACTAACATATAACGGCGATACATGTGTAAAGTAAAGTGGAAATAAAGGTTAAGGTGATAGACATACTTGAATTTGTTAAAAAAAAAG